TTTTTTTTATCATTGTTAGTAAAACAATAACCAACAACATAAAACTTACTTAATTATTATATTATACTATAATCAATAAATATAATTATAATGTATAAGAATATTGTTGGACGTGAAATTTTATTAAAAATTTGTTTTCAACACTCAAAAAAATTTATTTCGCATATTTACGCTGAACTTTTATTAAAATTTACACTAATAACAAATTATGAGAAACCTAGAAGTAATTTTTCAAGTTTTTTGACCAAGCAAAAAATAATTTATCAACAATAATTTAAAAAAAAATTCATACAATAATTAAGTGTAACATAATTTACCTATATCTAAAGTTAAATGTAGATTAAGAAATAGTTGGAATTAGGATGACACTCATTAACTAATAAGGTTAATGAATTTAATGTATTTGCCTAATTTTTTTTTGTTTTTGCTACGTGCACAAAAATATTGGATTGGCCAAAATTTATTTTGACTTATTCATAGATCAAATACAAAATCTTATTTTGCATATTTTTATATATTTTACGGCCTACAGGTTAGGGTTTATAATAGTTGCATATTTTCATGATTTATTCATATTGATGTCTATTTTCTTTAAATGTTTTTATTTTTTAGTTCTAATATGTCTCTTGTCTTAATTGATCTAATGAACCCGTTTCTCATAAAACCACTGTAAAATCACAATTGTTTCGACATATTTGATTCATAATATTATCATAATAATTCTTACAAACTATAAAAAAAAATAGGTATCAACTATATTATAACAATTTGCTTACATAGTCGCGCGTTTGTGATCATTTAAAATTATTATTTGTTAATTTCAACAATTCTCAATAAATACGTTTTAAAATAGCAATTAAATATTTTAAAGTTTAAGAACATATTTTTTAATTTTTCAGTGCAAGTTTTCCCTGCTTTTAATGCATTAAATGCACTTCTCTGGTTATTAGATTTAAGTCGTTTAAGATATCACATTAGTACATTACTAGTTAGATAATATTTTATTTTATTCACATTTAAGAATTTCTTTTTCAAATTAATCATTTTTAAAACAACACAAAACAATAATGACTAGATTTCAGTATATATTTTTAGTATTCTACAAGTACATAACGCAGGTGACTAGGACTTAAATATGCATAATAGTTTTGTTTAATATCAACTTTGAATTAAATATTACTATATTAGTACAAAATAATGAAGTTGTAACAAACACATGATTAATAAAAACAATAATTCATAATAAAAACATTTTTTGAAAATGATGTACATATATCCTCAACCGATGAGCCACATTCTAGGATATTGACCTAAACACTGAAACACATGTTTTGTACATTTTGCGATAACCTCATGGCAATACTAACCAGTAAGTTAAAAAAACTGTATAATTCATTAGATTATGTATTACCTACTTCTGATGTTTTTTGTGGTATTTTTGGTTCAACAAAGTCATCATCCAAAAAATCAGCATGAATCAGCATGCCTCATGATCATGTTCAATATATAATAATAACCAATGTCTTTGATTTATTTCATAGCCATGATAGAAATTTGAACATTTCACCAGAAATGTCCATACATTAATAGACCTACTTCATGATATTCATCAACCCTTTTTATTAATCTCAAATTTAGAAGCCAGAAGGTACCTACTTTGCTTTAAGATTTATAGTTGGTTGCAGACTATTGGAAATTTGAGTAATTATGGTTTTAACTATGTGAGTTGAACCAAAACTTCTTCGACTTGATGATTAAACCAAATTAGTTATCATATTTTATAATATATGTGTTTATTATGAACATAAAATAATGTAGTTTCATGTTATCCGATTATACAGTTAGGCAAACAGTAAAAGATTGTCTTCACATTGATGGTACACTTTTCATAAAATTGAAAATGATACTGAATTCAATATTTTAAATAGATAAAGTATTAGATAGATAGGTAACTAACCTACTTAAAATATAAATAATAATGTTTTTATTATTTATGGTTATTGGTTTAAACTTAAACTTAAAAAATATAATATGCATGATTTTAAAATTTCCTAATTGCCTCCAAGAAGCTTTTTGATTATTTGCCAAACTCATAGTACTATTAAGAATATTGAGTTAAATGCTGAGGAGTATATAACCATGGCCTAGAATATTTATACAGTTATATATAACAAATATTATATAATGTATAAAGTAACTAATAATATATGTTAACACCATTTATAACATATATGTAGGTAGGTATACCTAATCAGAAATAATAATATACTTAGCTAAAAGCTGAAATTGATTTAATATGGCTTTTTGGAATGAGACAATATTTTTAAATTCTATTATAAAAATAGAAAGTAGGACATCTGGGAAATGGTTCACCAAAAATATGAAATACAATTAAATAGGTACTTAATAGTTTATTAAGTGTTCAATACACTAATACCTATGCAAAATATACTATAGTAGTATAATTATAGTTTATAGCAGGGATGGGCTACTCAAAGTAACTAGCGGRCCACTTTTAAGTACTTTAAAATCTAGCGGGCCGCAGTGCATAGGAGAAAGCAAAAAAAAAAGGTCCTTCAAATTTACTAACATTTATTTTAGTAGCCGAGTACTATTAACAAATTGAAACATTCAGTTATTAGTTATAAACTACCAAGTATTAGCAAAATACATACTTTTTGTATTTTGTCATGGTATTTGTTACAATATTTTTTAATTAAATGGTAAGACAATTCAATATTTGTGTATTTGTGTAGATATATAAACTATCAGAATTTTACATGCATAAAATAACTTTCAAGGCACACCAGTGGCAACCTTTTGAAACACTTTCAACTACATACAAGGTACAGTGCTAATAATTGGTGTAATTTAACATTAGTCACATGGTTTGTAAAATAATGCCAATAGGCATGTACCCCGTTATTTAATAGACAATAATTTAATCAGTGATATGATTAAAAAAAAGCCCTCTCATCTCCCATAAGAATTATTTATATTTTATACATCAATATTTTAATTTTCAATTTTTAAGAATTTTTTTGTTGTAATAGCCAATTTTTTCAGCATATACTGTTGTCTGTTATATATAAACGTGTGATAATGATTATTTTTTTCAAAACCATAMATTTATTGTTATTATTATATGTTTTTTAATCGACCAATATCACATTTTTAAATGTCAACGTAAATTGAATGAAAAATATCAAATGTCAAGATATTTTGAAAGTATAATGTACTTTACCTTGTACTTATTTGGTTGAAATTTCAAGTCTACAATATTATTCCTTTCTAAATTAAAAAATAAAATAATTTTGTAAAAAGCTATACCTACTTTACCTGTGTTTTTTGTAACTTTATCCTGATTAATCAGAAAAGTAGGTACTGAGAAAATCTAATTTTTGTCCAACTGTATATAAACTAGTATTAAAATTGATTTTTGATTTTTTGCTGAAGACAGGGTATTTAAGTTATAGGTACACATTTGTGTGATTGAATAGGAATATGATATCAGAACTATATTTCTTGAAATATATAAAAAAAAAAATTTAATTGAATACAAAATTGTTTGTTATGTGACTTTTTAACTTTTTAATCATTAAGATGCTAGGTGTTTATGAAATCAAAGTCGTAAAAAAATGAAAGTGACTGATATCGAAATAATCAAAGATGGCAATTATCTGCCTAAGGAAGTGGGAAGCTCTAAAAATCCAGAAGCTAAAAACCCGCAATTAACGTACCTATAATGTTCTTAAAGCACAAATACTGTCAATTATTCACTCATGTATTGTATAATAAATACATTTTATTCTAATTAAATTATTTTTTATTAGAATTTAAAAATTTTATTTTTAAATCTAAAATTAATTAGGTTTCGTCCTAATTAAAAATAAATCTTCCAAAAATCAATCTGTAATTAATATACAGCACCACCCTTATAGAAGAAAAATAATACATATTGGATAGTCTCCAATACATGTCATGCATAATTAAAACATATATAGCTCAAAAGAGAATTGTATTTAGTTAAATTTTGTACAGTGTCAAAACTCCAAATATTTTTGTTTAGTCTAGATAGTAGATAATATTATATGTTATTGAATAGTTTTAAGGACATAATAGTGTATTATACACTGGGTATATATAAATACAAAATTATTAGTTGTAAGTAGGTATTATTCAATTTTAAACTGGTTTTACAATTTTTACATTGATTAAAATGAATAACAATATATTTTAATATTATTAATTATTACTATATAAAAATATGTTAACTAAATAGTTAAGATACTTTAGTTTAATATGTTTATAAACAAATCTAACTTATGAATATAATAAACAATAATTATACAACTAATAACTGTAATATAGTTCAGTCGTATTATTTTTTGGTTATATAGTATTAATGCTGGAATGGCACTCTTTAATCTTTATTAAACTAAAATGTATATAAATATAATATTATGGACATTTTCTCAAAGTTAAACAATTTTGTTTCCGAGTACAAATTTTCTATAGTTATATTTCAATAATCATGTTCACAAATAAAGAAACAAGATTAACATAATATTAATATTACATTTTTATAATAGGATTTTTAATGTGATGCCTAAAATAAACATTTTGTTTTAAGTTTTAAATAGCTAAATCATGTCTTATTGCTGATGTGACATTGTGTTAATATTTCCCTGGATAAATTATAAGTTTTAAAAAAATGTGTTAAATGATCTAATTATTAAAAGAGTTAAAAAAATAATGGTGATGTGAAAATGTATTTAAATATAATAATTTTTTTTTTTTTTTGGTAAGATATAACGTAAGATATTAATATGTTAGATTAACATAATAAGTATAAATAAAAAATACTTTGTATCAAGAAATTATTTTATACATGATAACTTTATTATTCTATATTATGTAAAAAAAAAAAATTACAAATCGCATATAAAATCTTCAACTGGTTTATATTTTGTATTTTATCAATTGTTGTCCATGTTTATTCAACCCATTTTTCCGAGTAATTTCAGTGTAAATCTAGGTCCTAATTCTCTGAAATATGATTTATTATTCAAAATCCTATATTTGTAATGCCTGAAAATTATTTTATTTCTTTTTTTAAATACTGCCACAACATGTTTGCCTTTAAATTTTAAATCTTGATGAAACACTGCTCTTAACATACGTGCTAAAACTTTATCTGATCTTGTTGTAAAATTTATTATGGTTAGTCCTCTTCTAAGTTTAGTAAATTCTTTGTGATGCATTTTGTTTGGAAATTCAAAATCACTTAAAATGAAATTTGCTTCTGTTTTATCAGCTAAATCGATAAGAGTTAGACCATTTGGTTCACTTATAAAACCTTTATCTTCTTTTAATATTATCAAATATGCATATCCTTTAATTGTAGCAGCTTGAATTATTTGTTTTATAGAAAAATAACTATGAAAAATTCTATCAGAATTAGGAACAAGTATAGTTAACATTTTTGCTAATTTTCTAACCCTCATCTGGGGATTTGGGTTATCGAATGTAATAAACACTTTATGATTTGAATCATCAGTTGCCAAGTCCTGTATTTTTTTTTCATTATCTTCATCATCAGAGTGGAATACTGATAAATCTGATTTTCTAGCATTTTTGATTGCTCTAAACAATTTCTTCAGATCACTGCTATTTTTATCTCTGTTTTGAAAATTATTTTTATATTTTAAGTTTTTAGGTTTCTTTTGAGCTAATACTGGTACTTCTGGTTCTGCCTGACCTTCCTAAATATATATATTATATTAATATTAATTATTAATAAAATCATATGAATAGCATACCATAAATATAAATTATATATATGTTATTGTTATAACTTGTAAAATAGATTATAAATAATAATTATAGTATTTAATGTATAATTTATGCTTGTAGCTAATGCTTTGAATTATTTGGTTTTGCATAGCCGCATAAGTGCCTACTTGTGATAAATCATGGTATATGATTTAAAGTGAAGAACAACCATTTAATAATGCATTTTTAAGTAGTTATATAATAAAACAATCGAATTTTTAATCAGGAACCTTGTGAAACATCATAGTCAACAAATATAAATTCAAAAAAGCTTTCCAATATTATGTTCAGGGTTTTTTTAATCAAATATAGGTATTATCACTATTATCAAAAAATTTTCAACGAATYGACTAATTAACGCAATGGAATATTTTAATCAAAATTAATATTTGAACATATTTTGATAATATGTATATATATTATAGGTAATACCATTTGATAAAAATTAAAATATTTATTTTGGAACTATAGGTGAATGTGGAATCAAGGACTCGGAAAAATATCACTACGATGCACATGCCATACATAACTAGACAGAACTGGGAAAATATTTTTGTTAAGAGGACGTAATACTGGCATTTGTTGTCTCTGTCTTGTTAGCACGAAACATAAATTACACTCGGCATTTCACGTGTAGATTTGTTAGTTTTAAAATTAGAGTGGTTTAACCTCTATCGAAGATTGATGAAAAGAATATTATCCGTGTTTGTAATGGGGTTTTCTGTAACAATAAATCAGTTTTTATGTGATTTATAATCACAAAAAAAATTAATTATAATAGTAAAAAACCCATATACCTACAAATACAAAAAGGTACCTAAACCTAATGTTCTTACAATCAGGATCTATAATAAGTTGATATATTCAAATGTTTAAACTAACGAAGCTACATAGGTATTGTGATCTGATGAACATAAATTTGAAAATGWTAGGTAGGGGTACGCTCTAGTAAGACGGAGACAACTAATGTCGATGTGGCGTCCTCTAAACACAGAACAGTTGGAATAAACCAACCATTTTTTATTCTTTTTGTTTGACCTATCAAATCCAAATTAAATTTTTATTTACATTCAAATTTATCACATTAATATCCACTACAGTGACCAACTCAACGGATGTATACTCAAAATCTTATATAAATTACATTACGATACCTATTTTGTAGAATTCATAATGATAATGAACTCAATTGGCACTAGAAAATGTGTTTAAAATATTAGTAAATATTAGTGTACCACATGGATATATTTTATATTGATACAGATTTTMTATTATGRCTTTTTAAAGTTTTTAATAACTAAGTACATAAATACGAATAAAAATATTAAGAAGATTTTTATTTAATCTCTTGGTAAATCCTTAATAAATAATTAACAGTTAAAACCGTAAAAAATGATCAATTAAACAAAACAAAAATATTACTTACAGTAACTTCATTGTTTGATTCTATTTCTTCTAAATCCATATTTTTCTTGATAAATTTAAAGTGTGAATACGATGTCAATTTGTGAACTATGAACTAAGTAATAWGTATCTATTGCTTAACAACACAGAATGCGAATGCACGAGAAAATGTCATGTACAATGTATAAATGCCACGTCATATAAATGACTAACTAATAAACAAGTGTGTTAACTAGATAACCATGACATTGCATATATTGTAATATTACCCAGACTTGGAATAAACGCTAAAACGCATGGAAGAATAATAAATTATTATATTATATTTTTGTGCGATGGGGGTCGTTCTCCGACAAACATAAATTTGATAACATGATATAACCTCAAATATTCTCCATTACCGACCTAATTTTTATTAAATTGGCGTTAGGGAAATTTTATACTACAAAGTAAACAAATTTGTAATCTGAATCGTCGAAACTTAAAAGTTCATTTTTAAGAATAAAACCGCTTAAAAGGAAAATCTTTGAAATTAAGGCCATCTAAATCCAACAATATTATAATGCTCTATTGTTTTTACTTCTGTCATTATTGTAGACTCTACAAACTTAAATTTTGTAGTAGATATATCTTTATTATAAATAAAAGGTAAACACCATGGCTAAATACATTTATAATATGAATAACATTTAAATACCATGGCTAAATGCATTTATAATATAAATAAAATTTAAATACATAATATATTATTATTTATTATTTTTGTTTGTGTATTAATGAACATCAGATGAGAAACCACAGGGCTGGAAGTTGTTTAACATATAATTATATTTTACTATAAAATATAATAAAATAATAAAAAAATACTGTTGAAAAAATGTAGTTGTTTATCCAATTCCTCATTGAAACGCCACCAATATTGTTTAAGTCTATCTGTTCTTTATTAATGTTTGTAATATTCTTTTAAATTGATTTTACTATTATTTATAGAACTATAATAATTGTTGAACCAACTAAATTTAATTGCATTTGTTTA